CTGGCAGACGGGCCTGTGAGGCGTGCCGCCGACCCCTGGTCTGCACCGTTGGAGGCTCCTCAGGTCGCAACGCTCACACTTCCTGATGGTCCTCACCAAACTCACTCCTGCTAGGGCCTCTTTCTTTCCTGTCTGCCACTGTTGCTGGGGCTGCAGGGACATTAAAAGTGACTGATATAAAAAGTAAAGGTTCTTCTAATCTCTCTTTTATCCTATCTGGAAGATGTTATTTCTTAAACATCTAAAAGGCATTACAATCAGAGATTATGCAACTAGATAGGGGGACTTCCCTGGTGGCGCAGTGGTTAAGAATCCGCCTGCCAAGGTAGGGGACACGGGATCGAGCCCTGGTCTGGGAAGATCTCACATGCCGCGGAGCCACCAAGCCCGTGCGCCACAACTACTGAGCCCGCGTGCCAGAACTACTGAGCCCGCGTGCCAGAACTACTGAAGCCCGCGTGCCTAGAGCCCATGCTCCACAACAAAAGAAGCCACCGCAATGAGAAGCCCGTGCACCGCAACAAAGAGTAGCCCCTACTTGCCCCAACTAGAGAAAGCCCACGCGCAGCAATGAAGACCCAATGCAGCCAAAAAATTAATTAATTAAAAATAAATAAATAAAACTAGATAGGTTAAAATCTATTTTCCAATGCTTTTCTTTCTAAGAAGATTATCTTTTAAGGCCTATTATGATTATTTATTCAATTTAAAAAGCCTAGAAATTTAAGGCAATGTACACTTTCATTTTTTAATAAACCACATGGCAAAACAATACTTTATTTAATAAATGTATAGGAAATTACAATTTGAAAATTGCAAATACAGTACATATACATATAGTGTACTTCGATCTTAAATTACATGGACAAACTCCAGCTTCAAAATCTTTCTAAAATCAGTCATTATGCAAAATACCTAGTTTCTGAAGGTGTATATGGAAAAGTATATACAATTTCTTAAACTGTGATATGGCTTACTTATTAACATACATTTATTTAGAGAAGCATAAGCTTTCCAAATATACATTATTTTTCAGGTGCAAAGCTGACATACTGGCACATTTCAATTTTGTGTTGCAGTTATTTCGTAATATACTTAATTGCAATATTTAAATTGACACTGTCACAGGTTTAACTGGGAAAGTCTCCATAATGTTTTCCAATCTTACCAAAACTCAGAAAATGTTTGTTGGTCCTCACCACATGACTGGAAGAACGGGTTAAACCTTTTGTAAGCAAGAATTCAATGACAGGCTGGCCCGAATGTGTAACCCAGTTGCACACACACAATTCAACACCGAGGAACTCTCACAACAATTCTTCTCTCCAATTTGCGTGCTCCTATCAACATCACAATATCCCTGGCTAGCGATCTGTTAACATAAATCTGAAGCCCTGTCTGGTGGGATTCACAGGATAGATCTGTAGCCAGGGTTTGCAAATGGTATTTTGGTTATAGAGACATTAAGCTTAATCATCAATTTGGGGATCAGGCTGGCCTCCCCTCAACACAGCATATAGCGAGGTGCCACTATTCATTTGTGACTAATACCCAACAGGCTCAAAAGTGAAGTTTGGTTCAAAGACAAACTGAACCCAATGAACTAATCTTGTATCTATGAACACATTCTATAACTTTAAATTTACTGTATGTACGGTAGAGGCAACAGCAAAAGTGCCTAAAACCTTATTCCAAAGGGGCTCAAATTCCATAAGAACGCCTTATTCAATATGGTGAACCAATTAATATAAACACATAAGAAGAAAATAAATTTAGCTAATTGTGCTTGTTTCAGAAGTGAATTCTTCTCTCTTCTAAAGTAGTAAGAGTGGTGGTTTGAGAAACACAACCCCGAGTCTTATCAGCAGTGATCTTGGCTTGCTGTTTGTTGTATAGTGCATCCACTTCTACCACACTTACTCTATAGAGCTCAGCATGCAGAGAAATCTGGATCAGGAACAACCAGCTGTTTAAAACAAGGTTCTTCCCTACCCAGAAACACATTTATAAGTGGTGCTTTGTCTCTGAAAGATGGTTTTTCCTCACATTAAAATGAAAGGGAAGCTCAAGTATCTGATCCTGCCTGAGTCTATTCTGGGAAAATTCTACTAAAGACAAACACTGTCGGTGAGGACACCTGGGTTCAAGAGACAGAACCAGAACATTGAGACTCCTAAGAGCAGAAAACTAGTTTTAGAAAAATGGGAACAAAGCACCCAAACTTGAAAACAGTAAAATAAGAAATCCAGTGATTTGGCAAATAATACTGATGGGAGCTGCAAGTTGTGAAAATCTGGGCTCACATTACACAAGAAATAGCTAATGGAAAATGTAAATGGAGGAATTACAAGCACTACTGGTTCTGCATTTCAAAGCCTTCTGAAATATGCCTTACTCAACTGCATTCCCCACATTATATTTCTAAAGCAGCATGGTCATTAATGAAACAATAGGTCTTTTTCCTAAAATAAATCAAAATGCTGCATCTGGCCAGAGCTGTGAAACACAGGTTATATACACAAGTAACTCTGATTATTTGCAAATGTTAACTGAAATACATTGCAATGAAGAACCGCCCAGTTTTTATGTTGTGATGTTTTCCGTGCAAAATTAACAATGCTTGGTATTTATACAAACAGCCACTGCCTTTCCCAGGACAATGGAAAGCCCTTTCTGAGGGCTGGCTGAGGAGTGTAACGTAGGGCTGTAACTAAGCAGGTGAAGGACAGACCAGCTGTACAGTTCCTGGTCGTATCTGCTAAGTTCACATCCCTCTCTGTGGGTCTTGTGAAGTTACAAAAAGTTAAATCTATCAATCCTCAAATCTTACAGACCCAGTGGAGTACAAGTACAAAGTCTATAGTCTTTGCTACAAAAAGCAAAGCACAGGAAACTTCATGTGTACCTCACTTTAAGGAGAACACTATAATTAAAATTTACAAAAGTTTTCAGTGTTTCTGCATTTTACAAGAGGATCCTTTCAATCCTCAAATGGATTTTAGACTGTTTCATCAAATAACTTTCCAAGGAATGGGTCATTATGAAAAGTCATATATAGCTATTTAAGATAAAGTTTACAAGAAACAAGCTCCATAGATATGAGGAACAATTAGCAAATATGGGAAAATCCATTAGCATAATTAGCATATATAATGCATATTCTTTTCATTTCTCTTGCTAGGTACTCAAAGTCCATAAATACCCAGATGTCCACTGAAATGTCTCTCATTTATTCTTCCTTGCCCTCTGTATTTTAATTTTATATTTATTTTGATTTAAACAGTTTATATGCTACTGAAATTTCTGAAAAATTCAAAGCATTATTTTAAATAGATTCACAGTAAGAATCCCATAAAGTGAATTTTCAATTCAATTCAACAGACACTGGGTTTTATTAGGAGCCATTAATCCTCATCAACCTTTTTATTGGATACCATCAACTCAATAAATGTTTAGGTAAATCTAGGTTTTATCTTAGGTTTATCACATAGTGAGTTTCTTGGTAGGAAGATGAAATCTGTTTCCTATTCTTCATTTATATCAGAAGTCAACTGCATGCCCACCTGGGACTTCAGTTCACAACTTGTCTAGTACACTCTACTCTGGTTCTGAGGAGTCAAAGAACCATATCCATTCTTGGGATAAGAAACTGTTCCTCTTGAAAATGGATTTCTAATGTGCATAAAGATAATCTCAAAACCAACAGTTGCAAAATGAAACATGAATATTCACAGCTGCCTCTTTAACACAATTGTTACCAATTAGTTGCATTTGCTCTGAAAACTTTTATGCTTAGCCTCCCTACAACACAGATTTCATGTCCATCCCCATTCCCCTGCTTTAAAAAACACACACACAAGGTCAAAAACCCTTGAAAATTTTGTTTTCTCAGAGTAATATCTTGCCCCAATCCCTCTGGGAGTTTCTGTTAAGGTATTATTATTGGAAAAACTTCAAAATTACATCCTAGGGTTTCTGGATTCCATGGAGAATCCCTAATCCATATCATCCAGCCAAAATTCTCTGGAGGAATGTGGTTAATCTACACATGAGAGGTGAAGGGCACACTGAACCTTAGCTTCCCAGAGTTTTACCCTGAAAACACAGATTAACTGGTATGGAAGCAGGAAGGAAGCAAGGTACCAAGCAAACTTTCTGTACAAAAGGTAAAGCAGTTCTTAAAAGGACAGAGGATCATTGTTTACCTTTTGCAGTCTCTTGCTGTTCTTAAAATAATTCCATGAACAACAAGTGATTTCGGGAAGACTTAAATCTGAAACTCCACACCCCATCCTCACTCCCATATTTTGTTTTAAATTATCATATAGTAATTTGAGTTTATGATTAACTTCTGCTATTCAGAATAATATTGAAAATATTTCCTAAACAATTTAATGACAGTGACCACAATATGTAAAGATTTGGTTCTGATAAGGTTACAAATAACCAAAAATGCTAACTTTGAGATTCAAAACCCTGTAACGTCTGGAAAAAGTTGATTACAAATTGTTAACAGTAAGATTAAGACTTATTTGTGAAATCAAACATTTCTGAAACTCTAGGAATACATGCTTATTCCACTCTCTGGAAAATTAGTAGTACTTTCTGAAATCTGCTGAGAAATAATTTTGGTAAAAAGAGAGCTGGGTGTCAAATTCCAGAAGCTGGGTTCAAGATTACATAATAAAAAAATTCAGTTTTCCAGCACTGGCTTGATATAAAATGGCCTTTAAAAAGGATTTTTAAATGCAAATACTGAATTCTTGATGCTTCCTTTAAGACATGTACTGTCATAATTAATGAAGTACGGTCTCGGATTGTCTTCTATGAGGTATCTGTAGAGTCATGTCTCATTCTGTAAACAGTGTTTTAGAAACATCTTCGTCTGAAAATCATGGTGAAGTCTCATTTTGCCATTAAACAGAAAGTAGCACTGTCAGGCTAGAGTGACTGTTTTGAGAGACCAGTGCTTGATACTGACACAGCTGTCAGGAATTCCATTTCTCATTTAGGTGTGCATTTATTGCTCTTACATCTGTGACTGCAGGATAAATAAGGCGGTAGTCTCCAAAATGTATACAATTAGGGACTGGAACTCTGACAGTTTGCACAAGTTCTGTCCACTTCTTGCCTATAACTCTGAAGCTGAATAGTACATTTATACATGCCAAACGTGTTCAATAATAAATGCTTTGCTTTGGACTGTACTTCCTCCCATTTAGATGAACTTCCAGGAACTGCAAGGTCAAGAAAATATCATTACTATTCATTGTATACAGTTACACATTAGTGAACAAGACAAAGGGCAAAAACAATCTTATTATACTGTGAACAGATTTTTATTAGTTTGATTTCTACCCTCTTGAAGCTATTCTGTTAGAGAAGTATTTCAGTTTACAAAGCCAGAATGACTTCTCATTATTCCAATCTCTGTATTCCACTCTTGGGTAGAGAAAAAATACTAGACATCAATTACAAGTCTTTCATCTTTTGTAGTTTTTAAAATAAACCATATGCATGTATTATTTTGATAAAAAAATAAAAAGCTGTGAAATGATTTAAAGAAATAAAAACATAGAGTTTAGCTTTTCTTATATAGAAAAAACATGGTAAATATACTTTGTGCCTTTTATCTGAAGGGAAAAAATCAATTTGTAATATCTCATCAAAGAGATAGAAAATTATTGCTCTGCCAACAATAAATTGACCTGCAACTCACGTTCTGAAGAGCCTCACCCTTCCCTTAAAACATATCTTTCCATCAGAAAAGTCTTCCTATTTAATCATAAGCACAGATGTTTAATTCCAAAGATAGAAGTCCACCAACCCCAGCATTCACCGTCAGCAACTTACTTAGCTGTATGTGTACTATGGCAGTAGGTTTTCCTGAAGTGAGAGACCAGATATTTAAATCTTCCACTGAATATACATCTTCTATTTTCATCAAAGCTTCTTTGATATAGTCTACATTCAAATGGCTTGGTACACCTATTCAGAATGTATCATTTATAAGTAAAGGTTATTTTGAGAAAAAATTTATATATTACTAATAGGACAGTTTTTTAAAAAAGAAACCAAATGGCTTTACCAAATTCAGTTTAAATGAACACTTTAAAATATATTAAAACTTTAAGATAAACTATGCACACATATAGCAGGATATATACAAGAGGTTAATAAATACTTAGAAAATGTTCATTCTCACTAAAAAGAAATGTCACTCAAACCAGATGACTTCATCTAATAAACAAGCTAGGATAGACAAAAAAGAAAAACGAACATACAATAAAGATAAACCTACTTCTGAGAACTTATAGTTAAATGCTTATACTTAATATCAGTAAGGCAGGGATGTTGGAAATAGAATAGCAAGTTAAATGGGAATTACAGACTTAATAAATAAATTATTAAACATAACTGTATTAAGAATCATGAGCTGCATTCTTGTCCTAGGTCCACAGTTTATTAGCAGCATGACCTTAATGAAGTTATGTTACCTCGCTGAGGCTCAATTTTCTTGTTGGTAAATGGGAATAATAATGTCTGCCTTGCCTACTTTTCTTGGCTATTATAAGGATCAAATGGGTAATAGATGGGAGAGTGCATTGACTCCCACATGTTTTTTACATGTAAGGTGGTATTATAGACTAATAAGTATCAGTAAAAAGAAAGACATGGCTCCTACCCTGGAGTATTCCTGCCCCTCACCAACAGCCCCAATCTGATTTAGGGAAATAATAAACCCACAGTGGGGATACTAGAGATCTTACCTTCTAGTATTATGACTACTGTGTCCCATACGATTCGAAAGGTTGTAAAAGCCACAAGTAATGAAAACACATATGTACAGATGGGATCAGCAATCTTGTATTCTGGCTGAAAAATGACAGATCAAAATTGCGTGATTAAATACAGACAGTCATAAAACAGTCTGTAAAGCAAAGTAAGGCATACTCTGTCCCCTGTTCTTTAGCAGGACTGGAGCACATCTTTAAAACTTGGATAATGCCAATTGAGAAACGTCTTCACTCTTTCCTAGACTGTTTAAATGCCTTTCTTTGTGAAACCTATTGTATTTCCAGAAGTTTAGTCATTTGTTCCACTGTTTTCCTCTGTGCTTTCTCTAAATCTTCCACCCAGAACCATAGACTATCAGAGCTGGAAGGAGTTTTAGCAGCCATCCATCTGGTCTAAGCCCCTCATATTAAAGAGGAGGGAACTCAAGTTTAGAGTTGAGGGACCTGCTCAAGGTCAAAGCATTAAAGGCAGAGCCAAGACTAGAACTCAGATCTCTGGATTTCCAGAGCACTCCAGTGCACATTCCACTACCTAGCAGTTGAGTGACAAGGCTTAGAATTGAGTTCTTCAGTGAAGGCACCACCAAAGCCAACAGATAAGTTACCCCGTGAGGTTGATACTATTGTGTTTGGTGCTAATAAAAGAGATATACTGATAGTTCAAGTATGCTTGCATAATGCAAAATGAATAGGACTGGCACAGGTGTCTAGTATACTGATAAGACAGTCACCTTTAGTTTTAATGTTGAAATTAAATATATATTTTAAAATAAAAATACTAGCAATCATGTTACCTTGAATCGTATGATGTATGCAGCTATTAGCACACCAACACTCTGTACCAGATCCCCCAAGGCATGTACAAATGCAGCTCTCACTGCCAAGCTATCCTGCCCATGGTTCTGTCCACATCTAGAACCTGTGGTAGGAGAATTTGAAGGCAGGGAGTGGGAATGGGCATGATGGTGACCAGATTGGTTCAATAGCAACCCCATTCTGTTAAAAATAAAAGAAAAGATTATTATTCTTCCTAATATTATTGACAGAAATATTTGTTACTAATCAGACACTAATGAGGCAACATGGAACTCATTCATTTAATAAATCTTTGAGCACCTATTATGCATCAGGTACTGTTCTAGGTGTTGGGGTCAAAACAGTGATAAGTCAGGCATATCCCTATCCCTATGGAACTTACGTTCTAGTAGAGAGGGCAGAGAATTAACAAATAAATACATAATGTACTGGTGGGCAATGCGAATGCTTTGAAGAAAAGTAAAGCATTGCAAAGAGGTGGAGAGTGATGGGGAGTGATCAGAAAAGGCCTCACTAAGATTCTGAGTAGAGACTTGAATGAAGTCCGGAAGCAAATGGTGGTGGAAGAGTGTTCTAGGCAGAAGGAACACCAGGGCGAAGGCCCTAAGATGAAAATGTGCTGTATGTGTATGTGCTTAAAAAAGCAAGACAGCCATGGTGGCTAGAATAAAGTGAGCAAGAGTGTTGGGAGATGAGTTGGAAGGGCGGCTATGGTAAAAACTTTTGATTTTATTCTAAGTATTAATGGAGGCCACTAGCACAGGGATTGGCAAACCATGGTCTGTAGACCATAGTTGGCTCACTGCCTGTTTTTATAAGTAAAGTTTTTTTTTTTGTAAATAAAGTATTATTGGAACACAGCCATGCTCATTTGTTTACATACTGAATATGGGTGCTTTTGTTCTGTAGCCGCAAAGTTAAGTAGCTGCCAAAGAGGCTGTATGGCTCTCAAAGCCTAAAATATTTATTATCTGACCCTTTACATAAAAAGTTTACTGACCCCTGGTCCAAATGATTAGGTATGTAACTTAAAGATTTTGTAGTTTTTAGGAAAAAAAGTTGGTAGTTACAAAAAAATCTTATTAAAATAAAAATATTGTAAAAGTTAAAAAAAACTTTGTCCTACTTAAATTCCTGATTGTTAGGCAAACTTCAGTATACCTGAGCAAACCCATGAGAAATTTGTAATTCCAATAGTGTTTTATTAACATTTAGAAGAAAAATTAATGTACTACATAACTTTAAAATACATTAAAATATCACTGCAGGCTACTGAATGCATACATAATAGTCTCTAAGTTCACAGTACTTGAAAATATTAATGTGAAAACAATACAGAGTATATGATACTATAATGGTGGATACATGTCATTATAAATTTGTCCAAACTCATAGAATGAGTTTAACACCAAGGGAGAACCTTCAAGTGAACTATGGACTCTGTGCTATAATGATGAGTCAGTGTAGGCTCATGGTTTGTAACAACTGTACCACTCTGGTGGGGGATATGATAACCAGGGAGGCTATGCATGTGGCGGGGGCAGGGTATATATGGGAAAGCTCTGTGCCTTCCGCACAAGTTTGCTTTGAATCTAAAACTGCTTTAAAAAATAAAGCCTATTAAAATTTTTTTAAAAATAGAGCTTACATCATATTAACTGCAACTCCAACAGCTGCGGTAATGAGCATTATATCTCCATTTATTTCATATTTCATATGGATAGTTCTTTGGACAGCTTCATATAGGAGGAATCCCATAAGTATATACACCAACAGCACACTAATCATAGCTGACAATACCTCTGGAGGGAAAAATATAAAAAATAAATACATTTGCAGAATGGTCATTATACTTTATATATACGAAATACTGTACAATCTCTTACTTATATCTTCTTTCCTCTAAGGAGATAAAAGCACTACATTATTTTTGTCATATTATTCTTCCTACTTAAAAAGTGATTAGTAGTTTGCTTTAGATCCTCCACTAATTCACTCCCACCACTCCCCGCCTTCTCCTCATCTCTTTAGGGTCAAATTATGTATATTTACAGACTATACACATGATAAAAAAATGAAAAAACTGAGAATAAAATTTGTAACATACTTGACCACAGGCTAATTTCCCCATAGACGAGTATACTTACAAATCAATAAAAAAGTGAACAACCCATAAGAAAAATGGGTAAAGGACACAAATAGTAATACACAGAAAATAAACAGAAATGGCCAATTTATCAAAATCAATCATAATACAAGAAATTCAAGTAAGAATTCCTTTTTGCCCCTTACTAAATTGGCAAAGATTAAAAAGTTTGATAACAGCCATAGTTAGCAAGGATATACTGGTGGAAGTATAAAACAGAACTATCTTTTTGGAGAGCAGTTAGTAAAACTAATAAAATTTTAAAATGCATATATTCCTTATATTCTAAAAATCTACCCAGTAGAAACACATCCAAATGTATGCAAAGGTATCTACAAGGTTTTTTACTGTAGCTTTGTCTGTAGTATAAAAAAAGATCTGGAGACATCTTAAATGCCCACCAATGAGGAACTTAATGGATAAATTATGGTATATACATATAATGGGATACCATAGAGTCATATATATAAATATGTATTTTTTAAAAAATTAAAGTATAGTTGATTTACAATATCATGTTAGTTTCAGGTGTACAGTAGAGTGATATATATATATTCCTCTTCAGATTCTCTTCCCTTATAGGCTATTACAAAATACTGAGTATAGTTCCCTGTGCTATACAGTAGGTCCTTGTTGGTTCATTTATATTTAAAAAAAAGAAAAAAAATCAGGCAAATTGATAATCACAAGAAAGACAGACGAGAAAATGTTATACCTGAGAAGTGAGACTAAGAGTTTGGGGAATTTATTTTTCACTTTATTCTTTTTGGTAACGCTTGAAAAGTTTTAAGTTTTTACTATAAACACATTTACCTTTAGACTAAAGAAAAACAAACCCATATTTTAAGGCATGTATGAATGCACTTTGACTCAGGATTTCCTTTTCCAGGAGTGATATACACACTCTTGCCAACTGAGCTGCACATGTGCAAAATGAGGTATGTTATGAAGCTATTTATCAAACATTGTATATAATAGCAAACAAGTGAAAACAATTTAAAAAAGTGATTAGTAGGGGCCTTGTAACATGGAATACTATGCAGCTTGGAAAAAAACATTAGGCTGTTTATGTTCTGATAAGGAGTCATCTTCAAAATACAGTGTTATGTGAAAAAAGAAAAGTATACAACAGTATATATGGTATGTTAGCATTTGTGCAAAAAGAAGAAAGAGAATATATAAATAATGATCTGTACATGCAAACTCTGGAAGAATATACAAAATACTGATACAAACTGATTATGAGGAAAATGGGTGGCTAGGAGACAGGGATGACTTTGCACTATATATGCTTTTATACCATGTGAGTTTTCTACCATGTGAGTATGAAGTAGAAATAATTTTATATCTTTTCAAAATAATAAAAATAGGGCAATGTACATTTTAAAATAATTATTATATAAAACTAGTGTTGACACTCAAAACAATAATAGCAAGAAAATACACAAATTTTTTTTCTTTAAAGAAACCAGATATTAAACTTTTAAGTGTTAAAAGTTAAAACAATCTGGAAAATTGTTATCTGGGTCAACTCATTGCTCAAAGGTTAAAGGCAGTTCAAGTATATTGGACTATGATCATTTTTATTCCACCTCATAAATTACAACACAGAAAAACTATCTAGCAGTAAAAAGTTTTTTCCCAAAGACATTTCATTAATATAGCCAAAACCCTAATGAAATTCTGTGCATCAACAGGTACTGGAATAAGACAAAAAACATACAACTCCTATTCAAAACCATGATTCATGTATTCCTGACATACTAATTATCATACTTCATAGGAGACACAGGCTTGAAGAAGACAGAGAAAAAACCCCAACTGAAATATACAAAGCTGTGGAGAGACTACCATATCAAGTCTAGACTCTAAGCCCCTAAGGATATAACCAAGTTACATTCCACATCACATTTACTGTAGCATTCAGCAGAAAGGCTGGCATGTAACATGTACTCATATATTTGTGGATGGATCTGTAGACTAAGTTAGGCTGAGCAAGGGAAGAGAAAGGGGTATATATACAATTCAGAAGGTAAAGCTAAATATGAACAATAATTATTTACTAAATCCCCCAAAACAAGATTAGGTTAAAAGAAAAGAATTAAACCAAATAGGGACTTCCCTGCTGGCGCGGTGGTTAAGAATCCGCCTGCCAATGCAGGAGACACGGGTTGGAGCCCTGGTCAGGGAAGATTCCAAATGCCGCGGAGCGACTAAGCCCATGTGCCACAACTGCTGAGCCTGCGATCTAGAGCCCGTGAACCACAACTACTGAGCCCACGTGCCACAACTACTGAGTCTGTGCGCCTAGAGCCTGTGCTCTGCAACAAAGAGAAACCACAGCAATGAGAAGCCTGCGCACCGCAACCAAGAGTAGCCCCCGCCTGCGGCAAATAGAGAAAGCCCGTGTGCAGTAACGAAGACACAACGCAGCCAAAAAAACCACATAAATAAATTAAAAAGAAAAAGAAGCCAAATATAAGACTGAAAACACATGGATTTCTTGTCTTAAGTTATAACTGCTGATGGCAACATATACATATATAAATAATATAAAGAAAGAAGAAATAATTTAAAAATTTTGAACTATAAAATCTCATGTACTAATGGTAGGCTCCTCATTTTACTCGTGAAGAAAGAGAACTTTAATTCTCTTTAATATTGGTATGTAAAAGATATCAATCCTTCTCAAACTCTTCTGAAAAAAAAAAGAAGAGAACTCTAACCCTGTGTCAAGCTTGAAGCTACCTAGCAGTTAGGACACCAAAGTTTTAAAGGTGCCCTAATCAAATTTTTAATATGAAATTATAAAGCAATATACTTCATAAAGATTAACAGCTATACAAGTTAATGACAGAGAGATGTGATTGCTTATGAAAATCTAAAACCAATAATTAAAAATTTCAAAACCCCTTGTAATTAGGTTGGCCATACTTTCCAGTTTTCCCAGATAGTTCCAAGTTATGCCTGTTATCCTGGCATAATTGTTAAAAGTGTCCCATTTAACTCTCAAAAGTGTCCTAGTTTGGATGATAAGATATATTGTTACCCTAGTAGGTCTGCCAGATAACATAGCGGATGCCTAGTTAAATCTTCATTTCAGATAAACAACTAATTTTTTCCATATAAGTATGTCCCCTGCAATATTTCAGACATACTGTCATCCTGAGAGAGAGACAGAGAGAGCAAGCTAAATCTGGCAACACCCACATCCCAGTGATAGTTTTCCTAAACACTGAAAATGATCTTTTTGTGAACCCTCAGATAAGGCAAAACCACATTCAAAATAAAGTAAAATGAAAGTCAAACTAAAGCATAAACAAAGCTCTTGACAAGGAGGATTCCCACTCTTTGAAGGCCCTAGGTCCCTGCAGCTGAAAACTCAGTTTTCCACCACACAGTTTTCACCCATGTAAGTAGCACAAAGGATCCTAATGCCTGCCCATAGTTAAGAGTAATGGAATTCAACTGATTCCTAGAAATTCCCAAAATGACATATTAGGATATTGTTATCAAAGATATGCCTTATTCAGCAATTAATAGGAATATGCCTCATATCTAGTTTCCCTGGTGAAAAGCAAAGACATTCATCTGTTATTTTTTTATTCTAATGACCTGTCAAAATGTCTTCTAAACAGAATACTGATAAATGCAAAAGCAAAAAAACTCAAAATTTTAAGTAGATTTTTAGGGCTGAGATTTATAATTGAGAAGTATAAGGCACAGTAATACCATATAGCTAAAATTCCTAATAGTAGTTGTATGATCATTCTGATAAAATGAACAAAAAGCTCTTTCACTGTGAATAAATTAAACTTTGGTGAAATATCATGAGTAGAACTAATTAGTGTTTGAATTTTTTTCATATTATTTTAAATATGATGGAATGCAGATAAATATAGGCAGGATTTTTTTTCTCCCACAACATTTAAGAGAGAAGGAAGCTTTCAATCAACAACCAAATTATGACTTGCTCCAGTCTTCTCATTCTTGCCCTGTTGCCCTGGGCTGGTATCTGGTCACACAACATACAGTAAAATTTTTCAAGATGAAAGGAGTGCACAACAGGTGGATTTTTCATTTTCTAAAGGAGACCCAGGAACTTTCATAAATGAAACGCTGGATTTCTGTGAAAGTTACTACCCTATTCATTTTGGACAAACTTGACTAAATGGAAATTTAGCTTAAATGAAAAACTCTTGAAATAGATTTTTATGGAAATTGTAGAAACCTATTATTCTAGTAGTTCTAACATATTTTGCTATTTTATTCTACACACAAATAATTATATCACTCCACCTGGCTGAACTGTAGCATTGGAGGATGGAGTAAGATGAATGAATAGGTGTTTTTTGTTATAACATCACTTGGGTCTTTTTATTCAGCTGAAATATAAACAAATGTTTATAGTCAATGATATAATAAAGACCAAAATATACAGTGAATTTCGCATATAGAGAATAAACAGTTTTGATTTGAATGGCTAATAAATAGTAAGAGCAAAAATTAAATGGGAGAAAACACAGATGATTATCAAGTTTTGATAGGATAAAATATGAAAAATGTTTATTGCACATTTTAACACATCTATAAATTGCCAAAACTAGAGGTTTTCAAGGTTCACATGAAGAATATTGAGTCCTTCTCTGACATCCT